TAGGCTCTGATTTGCTGTGTGCTTCCATAGGGTTGAGGGGAATCATGATTGATGAAGATTATTAAAATATGATCTATTGGGCAGGACTAGTTAAGGGCCTAGTTTGCTTTAGGGCAATTTCTGCCTTGGTTTCTCCTATTTGCTGGTTCTCCTTTTATCTTGGATGTTGGGGAGGGTAGTATCAAATTGACCTGCTACTAGTTTATACGCTGTACACTCAATCTTGGAGGTTCTTTACTTGTGCTTGGGAGTTCAATACTCAAATATCTTCATGATGGAAGTCTACATTATTGAGATTTATTTGCAGGTTCTCTTAGAGATCACATCTAGTTTGAGTATCTTATTTAGATATGGTTCCTCTTGGATGCACAGATCATGCCTCTACACAACTGACCCTCTGCAGTGTTCTATGAATTGGAATTGTGATTCTCTCTCTTATCCTCACACCCATCGAAGTTTGTTTGATATGGGGATGTTGGTGGTATGCATAGCAGACCCTAGAGTTTACTACAGTTTTCTCATCTTTTGAACTTTTATTCTTGTTGCCTCGTAGTAGTTTTTATTGTATTTGTCTTTTGGGTCTTTTCTCCTTTTTATTTTGGCCTTATTGTTGGGGTTCCTTTTGGCCACCCCCACCTTTGTAACCCTGTCTTTTATTCGCTTTAATAAATTTTCTTATATATATATATAATATATATATATATATATATATATATATATATATTTATTTATTTATTTATTTATTTATTTATTTATTTATTTATACTTATAAATATATTCATATTTGAAAAAATCTAAGCCTATAAATTTTACCTATCGAGATGTTTTTAGTTATAATACACAAATACATATATTTGTAAATCAAAACATCCTTTATTTAATTATAGAATTATTTCTTAATCTTCGTCACAATTTCCCTTGTGTTTATTTAATTATAGAATAATTTATTAATCTCCTAACCTATTAATCCTATTTTTATTGTTTTTAGAGTAGCACTTGCACTAATTATTTTTTAAATTGTGGCCTGTTGATATAAATATTACGGAGTACTATATAAAAATGATATCTCTGAAATTTTTTCAAACCTTATTTCGTGTACTCTTAGATATTACATATTAAAAAATATATATTCTTTTTCATATATGTATCGATATGTATGTGATGATATATGACATTGAAAACTGGTTCTGTGATTCGTATGCTTTTAATGTTTGAGGCATCGAAGAAAATGAACGTATCTTGGCGTGGCGTAACGGAATTAACCCCCGTTGTTGCAGCCATGGTAATTTCATTTTTTATATTGCCTCAAACTTAAAACCGGATTAAAAAATCTGAGCCTCTATTATATATTATGTGTATATGTACACCTGCTGGATGACTACAATTTATGTATGTATATATATATATATATATATATATATATATATACTAGCATTTGGATGAATACTGACCATATTCCTCTTTTAGCTTCCTTTTATGCTTCAATGTCAAGTAAATTTGTTGATCATGAATAGGATTACAAACCTACACAAATCGCTCAAGCGTCAGTCAGAACAGTGGAGAAATAAAGTATAATAGATACTAAATTAAAAAATGACAGTCAACTGCAGGGCATAAACCAAATTCTTTTGAGTGCTTCAATAGACAGTCCTCTAATTTTTTTACATCTTCCCTCCGAAATATGTCCCAAAGAGCACCAAATGCTTCCCCTACGTCTCCTCTGTACCTGGAATACTCACTACTACCATCATCTCTTTTGCCCCGACTACTGAACTCATTAGTTGCTAACTGCTGCCTGCCACTAACTGCCGCTTCCATGATGTGTGTCAATATATTCACCTGAACATTTACAATCATCAAAATTTATAATAACGGCATAAATATACTAATTCAGGATTGAACTATTACAGCATCTGCCATATCACAATGAAGGTTGGTCACAGAATTGCCTATTCCAAGTTCTTGAGCCATTCCATTTGCAATATACGCTTTCGGACCCAAATCAACCTTTTTAGAATCTAGGGTAACTTCACAGCAAGATTCAGAATACCCATTTTTGGGTCAGTGTATTCTTTGAAAGGCAATGCTCTGATAAACTCATCATAATGGCGTGGCAGAATATCTTCAAAGTACTCGTCTGGGGGAAAGTCCTTTAATTGGAGCATCTGTGGACCTTCAATGTAACATTTGAAAAAATCTTGAGTATTGATCTTGACCTGCATATTATGGTAAATTAATATGCAAATGACAAGAAACAATCATTAAAAATATGAACTTGAACATTAAAGAGAGAGAATTACCGGTTCCCCGGTCAAGCAATCAATAACTCGGAGTTCTGACATCTTTGAACTGACTTTTGGATCCACATGTTCACACAATGCACGCGACATCTCCATCGGCTCCCAACTTATGCCACAACTATGATCTAAAACATCCTTAATAACTATTGGCTCACCTTTCCTCAAATGGTGACGAAAGCGGATAAGTTCATTTTTCGTCACGACATCTTTGGATAAACGACAATATAAGTAATTATCATCCGATGTTTCCCTATTAGATGCTTTGAGGTCATAATCACCACTGGTTTTTGACAAGTCGTGTTTCTTCTCAGGTAGCGACCTGAATTTGTTCATTATCTATTCTGCTTTTGCTTTCAAATCTGAGATCCATGTCTTTTCTAAGATACGCCTGAGCTTTAATAAAGTTTTACACTCACCAAGACAAAATAAATTCCCATTATTTTTAGCTACCAGATAGGGACAATCAGGTGAGGAACCACATTGGGTTTTTGAAGTTGTGTGTTTCCTGGACTTTCGTGCTTTCTTGCAATAGGTAAGACCCTTGCAACAGGTAAGATATATATCCCTTTTGTGTTCTGAGCAGTGTCTATGAAGATCAAATAACGATGTTGAGCAGCGGTCACTGGTTAAAATAAAGTCATGGATAATAATAAGATATTAAAAAGGATTCAATTAGCATACAAAGGATTCAATTAATAAGAAAATTACCATACGATATCCTCATCAGGTTCAATGCACACTCTTTCTACTAAAGACCGTGATATCCCTACACAGGAAAAAGACCGTCATATCCCTACACAGGAAAAGGTTCAATGCACATTATAGTTTGAATAGTTACCTTGAGAGTCTTCTTCCATGACTATCTCCTCCTCTTGTTCTTTACAAATTTGTTCTACAAACGGAAGTAGTAACTTGATTAGGTGAAGATGCTGCAACTTCACTTCATTAATATCTGTTTGTTCTTCAGAAATAACCTCAGATGGCTCTGGAGATTTCTTTTGAATATTGGAGAGATAATTACTTGATAAATCAGCTTGAACAGCAGTTCTCTTTTTTCTTGAATAAGTAGCAAACTTGGTTTGAATTGTCAATGCCTTTAATTGATCATGAGTTGGAGCGTACTCAAAACTCATGCAGAGTTCATCAGTAATCATTCCCTCTTGGAAATCAATGATCATTAGTTGTTGGTTGTTTTCAGGCTGCTGAATGTCTTCTTGGACTTGTTGCTCAAGTTCCTCAATCCTTTTCTTGAGCCTTTGAATGTGATCATTTTGATTGTTAATGACTTGATCCTTTTGATCAATCAATTTGCTACATTCTTCCAGATCAACTTCTTTCAAACTTACATGATTCTTCAGTGTTCTGATCTCATTCTCATAATTTCCAATTTCTTCATTCTTTTCAGCTATCAGCTTGTTTTTAGAGTCAATTTGGGCATTAAGGTACTTGATGAGATCATCCTCATCATCATTAACTTCATCATTATCATTACCATCAACATCCATCTCAAATGCCACATTCTCTTCTTGATCATGTTGTTGTTCAACTTGCGGTGGATCTGCCAATAGTAGTGGGTCAATAGGGACATCTTCATTCAACATGTGGTCAAATAGTGCTGATTCTTGACCATGGTATACTGTGCTTTTAATGTTCCCAAAGACTTGTGCTTTGAGGTGAATTTGCTTAAGTTTAGGTGAGTCCCTTGGCAGATTTCGCAATTGATCATTGATCATGCACTGCAGGAATCTGGGATACATCGG